GCAAATGCTAATTGTTCAAATTTATTTCAAAATAACACTGCTTTTTTCCTCAATTTCACGAGATTTATGACATTCTAAATCACTCTGATCTTCTTTTATTGGCAAATATATTTGCAGGGGTCAAAATGTGAGTTCAAACTATTTTACTATCTTCTTGAGATTATACTCTATCAAATAGTGAAAAGATGAAACGTCAATTCTCTCCCTCTCTTCATCATTCCAGTACTGACATTTGATGCATGTAAAATAGGCTGCAATCAATGCGCAAATCATATTTCTATCATTGTTTTTGTTCTATCGTCTGACATTCAATACTGCTACGCAAAAAACAACTTTTTTACACAAAGAATATGACCTACAATTTACATACTTGATCGTTTCAAGTTCATCTGAACTATTGATTCTAAATAAAATGTACCAAACTGAAACCAATTGAAATGATCTATCGCTATCACACATTCGTTATAACTTGAAGGTCATACGATAGCCACAAATGAATGGGTCAGTATAAAAGACCGACTTAGGTTACTGAGAAGTCTATAAAAGTGGAAGTTTTTTTTTAATTAGAAAAAATAAACTATGCAAAGAACTGCGTGTTCCCCTTCTATGGACTCATATTACAAGACGGCTTTTTATTCTGACACATTCAAATGTGCCCCAAACTTTTGCTGTATTTACTTTTACCGAGACTTTTAGGGTGGGTGCTAGAAGAGCCGATTTTTATGTATTAATTTTCATTTAAAACACAAAAATATGATTACAGTCCCTAGTTAATCTTATAAGCGAACTATTCACGAAAGTTCAAAAGGACTATTTTTTGGATCTTTTGTACGGCCAGACGGAGGGATATAATTTTTCCGTTTGAAATCACTTAAGAAACAGACGTTTTTCTTCCAACAGACATATATAATTCATCCATATTCGCAAAGTTTAGTTTAACGAACACGGATAAAATATATATATGTAAGATAAGGTCGTCACGTCACGAGAGAAATGACATAAGCCAAAAATACGTACATAAAACTGTACAAACGAAAAAAGTCCAAAGATTCAAGAATGTGACGAGTTTTGTGAAATTGGAACTACTTACATATGCCACTTCATACAATAGAATCTATCTCTTTTAAACCGGCCAATATAGCTATTTGCAAAATTTCACAATACCCTCCTTTCTACTTCAATAACACTTAACGTAAAATGTATATACAATAATAATTGATGTTAGTACGTAAAAAATGTGTATAACAAGTTGCAGATGAAATAAAAAACGGAGCATTATTCGCTGCTTTCATTCTTTTTCAAATTTAAAGTGCAGCCGTTCACTCAATATTATTCTCCCAATATACTTTTTTTTTATTCATATTGAATTGAAGCAGATACTTTTGTGGCGTGTATGTATTTTTTTGTTGTGAATCAAAATGATTTTCCATTGTGAAAATGTTGTCGGATGCGCTTGTTTTCAAAGGCCCATTTTCAACATGAGAAAAAGTGTATTTTGGCATTCATTTAATTCTATCAAAAGAGCCTATTTTGAAAGAGCAAACGATATATACACAATCATTCATCATCATTTGTTGATAGGCTACAAAATTTAAGCAGCACTTTAAATGCCCCGTAATTGAAATGCTTACTCCATGCTTATTCTCAATCCATCTTTTTCACAAATGCAAAGGAATAAAAAAAAAATCAACCTTAAAATAAAACAGTTCACTCTTACCCGAGGCCGACCAAAAAAATACAGAATTTTGATTCAAGCGCCAGAAAAAATTGCCGAAAATAACAATAAAGTTAGAATATATAAAAGATAGTCGTTTTTCCTGCTGGTTTCGGTGATGAAATAAATTGCAGATTATGAGCCGTTAAAAAAAATTGGTCGGCAAAATGTAATGTATATATAACGGCAGTAGCAGTTCATGCATTCAAGAATAACACATACGCAGTGACGGTATCGGTCATATTTGGGAGGATAAGATGCGATTTTTGGTGCGAAACACCGAGACTAGAAAGCACCTCATCATATGAGCATTTTCCGTTAACAAAAAAAAAAACTCAACTTGAAAAAAAAAAACAATGAAGATGTAGTAAAATTATTCCCAAATCTATGGTAATTTTATTCAAAATATTAAATAATACACTTAAGTAAAGTCGCGCGAGTGCTGTGTGTGAATGCGAGCAGCAATATGGATGCGAATGAGCCAAAGTGCGGTTCATAGAGTCAGGATGAGAGTGGAAAATTTGCTTTGCATTGAGATGGCATCATTTTGATGACAAACGGTTCCATCAAACCAATTGACTCAGCGTTATTCGGATGTGTAAATTCCCTTCTTCTTTTTTTTTTCGTTCTCCACACTTTACACAAATATGCCTGGCAAAATGAATTTTGTGTGCCTGCGAGCTTAAATGCATTACTATATAATATTGAGATACGCATACATTCAACGTATTTTTAAATTGCTCGAACAGCATTGCTATATCGTGATAAAGTTAATGGATATGAAATCGGTTCTATGTATTTTTAGGAATTTGCTTTGAAATTTTTGTTTCAAAGCTCTGCAACGGTTTACTTGGGTTTTTTTTCGTTACACCCTTGCCTGCTCAGATGTAGACGATGATGAAACAATCTACCGATCTATTTAGTTTTGGTTGCCATCACAAACATCAGCGCGTTTTATCAAATCATTTTCATACATTGAATGAGACTGACTGTGCCACAACCGACGGTAGTAAAGGATAAACCGCAAGGAATTTTATCACTTCAATCTCATCTCACGCTCTCTTATATTCTATGTGAGTGTGTGGCATATGCACTATAGGCCATTCAATGTAAGTGGAATGAATGGCACTCGGGAAAAAGACGAAACATTTATTTTAGTGTGGAAATCTTTCAAGCGATTAAAAAAAAAGAATTCCGGGAATAGCAAGGTGTTTGTGCATGCTTTTAACTTTAAAAACAAAAGGTACTTTCGTTTTTTTTAAACCTCAATACAATAAACACTCTACATGCTCGTTCCGGATTTGTTTTTTTTTTTCAATTACGTGTCATTAATGTAAAAATATCGCCGCATCCATTGTGTGCATGTGGAAGAGAACGATGTGAGTGGTGTATAAGTTGATAGGCAGATGTGTTAATAAGAATAATGTCGCTGTGAGAAAGGAGCGTCAAAATGAATTTGTATATACAACAAAGCGAACCAACCAAGTTAAGACTCGAAATACCTGAACAACATCTTCACAACTCTATTAAAATTTGTATATGTTTTTCTCAGACAATATATTTAGCTGTCGTCATCTGGATATTTCAGCTCATCTGGATATCGTCAGCAGATGATACGACGTGAAAACAATAGAAGTGATTGTTATAGGTATATAAGCTTGTTATAAACTGGTATTACTATAACAATCACTTCTATTGTTTTCACTTCTCATCATCTGCTGACGGCATCCAGATGAGCTGAAATATCCAGATGACGGCAGCTAAATATATTGTCTGGTTTTTCTAGCTTCTTCATTTGTATTTTTTTTCCATCCATTTTCTCTGCTCTCTACAATTTCGTCGACACTATGCACACACACCTTTATCTATACATGTACACACCGTAGCGGAAACAATTTTCGCATTATTTAACGTATTTGTTTGCGATGTCTATTTAACGAAACTGTGGATGATGGAAGAAATGCAAAAAAAGCGTCTTCAAGCTGTTATTTGTTTATATGAATATACATGTACAAAATGGCTAGATTAAGAACTAGAATTGAATCGATACAAACAACGGTGAGCTAGAGAAATAGAAAGAGAGGGGAATTGGGAGAGAAAAGAACGGGAGTTGCACACTGTTTAATAAAGAACCAAAGCACACAGTATGTGTTGTGCTCGCACGCTATTGATAAAATTCAATTAGGTTCAAACTAATGTTCCTTTCCATGCCATTGAATTTTAAGCTTTGTTCGTCGTTCTTCGCTCATACTAAACTCACTCTTTTTCGTCGTTTGTCTCGTCTGTAAATGTGTATCGGACATTAGTGTGTATCTTGATTTTTTGGTGTGTACCCCGTCTCTCTCTGTGTGTGTTTTTGTGTTTGAGAAAGACAGGGAGTGTGTTTCTGTTTTTGTGTGTTAACATGCCAATGATTAGATCGTTGGACGAAAGTAACAAAAGACTCCGCAAAATAATGAAAACAACAACAACAAAAAGTATGGTGAAGTTGGGAAAGCCAAAGTAATTTTCGTTTCGTTGAGAAGTGCATGGGAATAAGTACAGTGCTTTGTTCTAATCAGATATCAATGAAAAACGAATAAAGTGTTTCCTTGTGCTTCGGAGTTTTTCTGCAATAGATTCTATATTGTTGGCATTGTCTCTGTTAAGAAAGCCGAACATAAGAAACAATAACCGTATCTTTTGGTCTAACGATGAAATGAAAAAGAAGCCATAAAATCTCCCAAACACGCACCGATAGCCATTTTGATAAGAATACCACCACTCTCAATCCGAAAAAAAAACACACACACACAGTAGAATCAAGTGTTGGATAGCAAAAGCAGAATGATGGCAGTGCTGCCACAAGACAAACACATTAAATTTGATTAGAAACTCTCTCGGGTGAATCACGAACAAGTGGGAAGTTTTGCAATCGAAACGTGTATATAAATTAATTTGGTTGCAAGAGAAAGAGTGTGAGCATGCAAAATACAAGCCAAAAAACGTATCATCGGCGTCATCATCGGATACCAATGTGAAAAATTGAATGCGCTAACCAAAAACGAACAATATGGCCCAAAACCAGTCCATTCATGCATTTACAACAGCGCGATATCAGTTTTGGTGATGGACACAATGGATTTTCATTAAGAATACAGCTACTTTGAAACTTTTTTCTTATTTTATTCGATAAAACTTGTCATTTCACATACACGCACACACGGACCGAGAGAGAAAAAAAACTATGACCAATTCAACACCATAATTATTAAGTTTGCGAGACCAGCCTTACAATCATAATAAAATTACTAAATGTATTTTTTTTTTTTTTTTGGTTTTCGTTTCTATTTATTTACGACACATTTACGTTATTAACTATAAAAATGGATGGCATTGTCGATTGATTTCAGTCAGAATGTACTTCAACTTGTAATTTATCAGCACCGTTTTTACTTGAAGCATTCAAGGCTCGGCCGGCTGCATCTCTTTTGAATGAATTTTCAACTATGCAAATTAAAGAGAGAAAATAATATTAGAATAAACGTTTTGTTTAAATAAATAAATTCAATTCGAATTAAATTACAAACCGATGCAAAAACTTATGGTACCGACGATGCCAAACACAAGTAATATTGACATTTGTGCGTGTAAACCCAAGTGTGATGAATACATAAAACTCAGTGCAGCTGCTATTGACTAATTTATTAAGAGAGAGAAAAAAACAACCATCAAACGTTAAGTACATTAAAATAATTATCGATATATATATAGAGCCGCCACGGTGTATAACAACTCACTTGTGTAAATTTGAAAACGGCAAATGCTGCAACGGAATTGCTTGCAAATGAACCACCAAGCATTGAATAAATTTGTGTATTGAAGCATGCATCGCCAAAGCCCAATAGTAATGAACACAATAATGCAACCCAGACAATGGGTGGATTAAAGTATCCAATCTCTTGTGTGCCTTTAACTATAGAAAATGTCGAAAATTAAATTAAAATCATTCGTACAACATTGGAAATAAGAAATTCTTCACAATAAATGAAACTAACATGGTGCGTCATCGGGTAGATTCAAATAGATAAGCAAAAAGCTAAACATATGAACGATAAATCCAATTATAACAATGGGATCTCGACCATATTTAACGGTCTTTGATCCAAGCAAACCGAAAAGAATGCCACCAAATATTTCACCAATTCCAATGGCAATGCCAGACAAACCGACAAGTTGTTTTGCCGATTCGCCTATTTTCAATGTGAATCCAATACTTGGGCCGTATACACCGCTGTAGAATGATAATTCAAAACCTATTGAGAAAATGAAACAAACCGAAGAAAATTGGTGCGTAAGAGTATTGTCTACAAAATCGTTTTTCGGTACACATGACACGTGTATGGGTGGATGGGTGTGTTTGTGTGCAAACTGGATATTTGCATTTCAAATTTTACCTGTATAAAGAAATGTGATACACAATAAAAGCATGTTACGTGTGAAGAACAATTTGATTGCTTTTACAAATGCCCCAACAATGCCATTGCTATTCGAATCGTAGTCAAATTCTCGATCACGTTCCTTATCATCGAATGTATGATGGACACGACGTAACAAACCAAGAAATATAACGCCAACAATTGCAACTGATATGAGCACTGTGAAAACAATATGACGAGTATTTGCATCGATCTGCTCTTTTCCTTGGAATTGGAAAAATACAAACAAATTTCCCATCAGCATGCTGAAACCGAACACACACGAGATAGATTCAATAAAATCAAAAATTATTGGATGAATGACATATACCTTGCTTGCAACATTGCCCAAAATACACCTGAATTACGTGCAATATTGGATTCATTACTGCAACACGATAAATAACTGCCTTGTCCTGTCCAAATTAATGCCGCACCACATCCCAATACAGCACTTGCTACGTATAATAACCATGTCTTTGGATACAAAAATGACACCATGAACAAACTGCAAACAAAAATATGGATAGAGAGAGAGAGAGAGAGAGAGAGAGAGAGAGAGAGAGAGATGTATCATCATTAGAGTTTGGCATGTAAATTTAAAAGTGCAAAATCTCTAACGTTGATTATTTCATACCAATATGTGATCGAACCGATGAACATGGCACCTCTTGGGCCACATATCGATATTGCCGATGGTGCAAGCCAATTGCATATTGCTAACGCCGCATAAATTATCGCCAAACTAGTATATCCATCGCCGTTAAAATTTGAATCCTCATTTGCAATGCTTTCCAAAATGGTTTTCTGTGGAATGGAAAATGTTTTGCTGTTGTTAAAAATGTAATGATGATTATCACTTCGTTTCGTTTATTTATGTTTTTGTTTGAAGCGACATTTACATGTTTTAATTGATTTTCGTAAAATTCATCGAAATGGGACTGATAAGCTACTAATTACCCGACACATCAAATCATTGCTAAATTAGAGCGACGTGATTTTGGTTGTTTTTTTTTTTTCATTCAAAAAATTGTCAAACTAACAATGTTATCGAAAGCAATTTTCGACTATATTATTAATGAGTTTAATGTTAAAATTGCTCAATAAAAAAGTCGGTTCTTTAAAACCAAAGATCAAATTTCCACTATTATGGATTCATTTGTTATTGTTTATGATTTCAAAATTTGTCGGTCGCATCTTAATCAACGTCGATTACATACACTGATTGATAGATAGAAATGGATTAATGAGTTTAAGCGGGGTATTGTTAACCTAAATTGCAAAATTATGTACTTGAAAATAGAATAATTTCTTCTCTTTTATTCATACGATCGTTTGTTTTAGTTTCCCATACAAGCGACTGTCCGTTTGACATAATATATTTTAAAACATGAAATTGTTCCACTTTCGTTATCACATTAGCTCGACAGCGTAACATTGATTACCGCAAGCATTACCCGATAATCAAGTGCGCTCAATTGACATAAAGTGCTTCAATGAACAAGGCGAAAACAGAAACACTCTCTACATTCCATAACAAAAAAATGTCTGTTTTTACGTATAAATTCTAATTATAACAATTTCGTCGATATCATACGTTGATTGAAACAATGCGCGTTGAGGCAACAACAACAACAATGCATAGTGCCATTTCAAATTGTAATGCATGTAATTGCATTTGAGATTGAAACTCCTCTGATTTCCCTTTTTTCTTGTTTCTATCTTATACACGAGGGGCATTTGTTTATTTTTTTTATATTTTTAACTTTCAATCATATTGAATTCATTTCGCGCAAGTTATTCGGCAGTATTGCTGAATGAATGGAAAAAAAAGAGAAACAAACGACCAAAAATGGTGGTCATTTCGCAGTGCAGCGTTTGGTGTGCCATTTAGCCAGTTTCTATTACAATCGCTTTAAGCATTATACGCCTTAATATGATATCGTCTAGCGTTATTCCATGTCGTCTTGTTTGTATTTTTTTTGGCTGTGTGTGCATGTGTTTTTTCAGTTTTTGTTTCATTTCGTGTGTAGCTCAAATGCTTATAATCAAATTATGCAGACCGGTTTTCGTTCTCGTATTTAAACCGTCATCATGTTTTTTTTTTCGTTGGTTCGTTCAATATTTTTCGTAACGGAGTACATTTTTTTTCACTATCATTCGAAATCTTTTGGTAGAAATTTTCGTTGAAAGCAGAGTTAGGTCTTTTTTTATTTTTGTTTTTTTTTCTCACTCGATGCACTGTCGCTCGGATTTGGATAATTGATGGAAATTCTGTGCAACTTCGGCTTAAATGTTCATGTCAGATTTGGTATTACACACCAATACGGCTTTTAACCGAAAACAAAAACCATTTATAGTATTAGGCTGCAAGACGAAAATACATGTATATGAACTTGTGTGGATGATATAACGCAATTTACATTAAAAATCTGTTTTTTATTATGAAATTTCATTTTATTTTACTCTATCAAATTGCTTTTTTCGCTTTGCTTGTTTAACATTGATGCTTTCTTCATTTGCATATAAGCTTAAACACATATCTCGTTTAACATCCAACGCAAAATGCACACCAACGCCATATGATTGACCATAATTTTTATCAGAACGTTGCTGATGTCCCATAATTTACTCATCATAATAACAATTTTATGGGAAAAGTGATGTGCGTGTGTGTGCGTGTGAGAGATCGAAAGACCGGTTCAATTCTGTTATAGCAATGCTAAGATTTTGAACTGTTTTTATTCAAGAAAAATATTGGGATTCATACAAATTTAGAAAAATAGAAATGTGTACATATTAGTGGGATTGACTTTTTCACTATTTGAATCATTAATATTCGTATTTCAAAATATAGCAAATCTAGTTCAGATTCATAGAGAAATTAATATTTCTCAACAAATTCTCCCCTTCGGTATCAATAGACTCAGTTTATTAGAAAATCATATGGAATATATTTTCGATTAATTTCGACGCAATCCATCTGTATTTAAATGAATTCTATTCATAATGAGGTAATAGTGCTTGATGTATCATCAAGCTTTATAAAAACGTTTTCGATTTGTTTGTATGTTTGTATCAGGCTATACTATCTTGAAACCAGTGATTCGTTAATTGCTATTGACTGCTGGCTAGCACATTACTCTAAGTAAGTCTTAGTGGCAATAGCAATTAACGAATCACTGCTTGAAACCTATATTTTCAGATTCCTGAATCCGATCTTCAAAAAAGATATTTTTTTTAATTCACCCAGAAAATTTATTTTCCATGGAAATGAGATTTTTCCTAAGAATTTTCATAGAAATCCGAAAATAACTTGACTTGTGCGATGTAATTCAAGCTAAAGTTTTGAAATATTTTTTAAATTTCACATTTTTATGCATCGACAGACACATCAAGCATTACTTCAAAGTGTACATTGGCAGTGTATTTACATAAAAATGATTCAATTTTAAAAATTGGCATCCATTTAAATTCCCTTTCCTGCCAAAAGTAATTAACAAAGTGACCAAATCACGATAATTGGTTGATTAAGTTATCGTTTTTTTTTTAAACATAATTAATTAAATAAATTTGGTTGAAAATGTGTGTGCGGAAGTTAATTTGATTTGGTTAATTGAAATTCAACTCGTTTCTTTTTGGTTCTCATTCTGTTCCAAGCTTCAACACAGAATCATTTTATTTTTTGGGTTGGCGTAAATGAAATGTGCTTGTTACATGGTACTTTATTTGAACGCTCTAGAATAAAAACAACTTATTGTTTACTCGCATATCGAAACGGAACTCAAAACGGGTGCATATCAAAGCGAGACAATATTTAGTTATCATAGGAATAGAGAACATTGGCTTTTTATTATGCGAAATATGTAAGTTTCATTTTGTGCTGATAACTAGCTACTGTTCTGCCTTGTTTTAGTAACAGAATTTTGTTTCGCTTTGATATGCGACGCAGTTTAACGATATAAATATTTCACACTCTCGAAGGCTCAGTATAGAACACACAAAAAGTGAAAAAAAAACTTCTTATTCTCAAATTTCATATACAATCAAATGGCTTGTACCAGCGACTTTTATTGCGTAGTTGTGTGTGAATAGAATGTCCGTTGTAAACATTCATACATACAAGGAGGAGCGGGATAGCATTGGACAACGATTTGGGTGACAAAGATGACACATTTTTATGTTTTGATCACATCACATGATATAGACCATTTTGTGGTGTTCGAGAATTGAGAAAAAAAATCAGATTTTTTTTTCACTTTTCATGCTCTATACCGAGTCTCCGAGAGCTTCATATAAACTCGCCTTGCAATAGCCAAATGACGCCTATTGATTTCATCACGATTGGTATTCGCTTACTATTCAATAGGCATCACATAGCAAGTTCATATGAAACTCTCGGAGACTCGGTATAGAGCACTCAAACAGTGAAAAAAGTCCAGATCGTGATTTAGATGATATGGAATGCGATTTTTTTCATTCTGATTTCACCAGGTGATACAGAAAATTGAGTAGTATTTGAGAATTGAAGAAAAAAAATTTAATTATTTTTTTCATTTTTCGCCAATTTTTACCATCAATATGGGAAGCTTGTATGAAAAACACGGAAGACTCACTCTTACATGTTATTTCTCAATGCATGGCATTGTATTTACAAACAACGTTCTATTGACACACAACTGCGCAATAAAAATTGCTGATACAATCCATTTGGTTGTTTATGAAATATGAGAATAAGAAGTTTTTTTTTCACTTTTTGTGTGTTCTATACCGAGCCTTCGAGAGTGTGAAGTATTTATACCGTTAAACTGCGTCGCATATCAAAGCGAAACAAAATTCTGTTACTAAAACAAGGCAGAACAGTAGCTAGTTATCAGCACAAAATGAAACTTACATATTTCGCATAATAAAAAGCCAATGTTCTCTATTCCTATGATAACCAAATATTGTCTCGCTTTGATATGCACCCGTTTTGAGTTCCGTTTCGATATGCGAGTAAACAATAAGTTGTTTTTATTCTAGAGCGTTCATTTATTCATGATGAATTTCACATTCATTTCTAATATCGAACGACTGAAATGAAACGCTTAAGGTTTTTGAAATAATATTTTTGTTGTTTTATTTATGCTCTATTTATGGCCACAAATACACGTTATAAATGGCATTAAGATTCAACATAGTAGTAATCAAAGCTGCCTTTTACCATTGTAGTTGTAGACTGAATGAATATCGTACATATCTGTGTGCATGTGCCGCTATATACAAAGCGGCAAACTATATCTGCTTGTATTTTCAATAGATACGCACATTATCGCACAAATGTGACACTAACGACGGTTGTTGACAAATTCAAAAGTACTTTTATGCGGCTCGGAATTCATCAAATGTATAAAGGCGTAGAATAGAGCACAGTTTTTTTTTTTAAAATGCACAATTTGAAGAAAAGGAAAATACACCGAAATGAGAGCATGTTTTCTTTATTATCTCTTATCACAAGCATAAACTTACTCTTTATGCATCAATAAAACATTTGAAATGTAGACTTTCCTTAAAACCGGGGCATACCGTCAGCTAATGTCTTCAACGCTGATAAATCCAGCCGGATATTTTAACAGATATTTAACCGTAGTTTAATTAGAACCGTTATAGGCAACTTCGAGGTGCGGATACTTTTCTTGGAGTGTTTCTGCCGATGACGTTAGCTGCCGTTGTGCCCTGCTTAAAACGCAAATACGTTCGTCTCATTCTCAATTCTATGTCTCACTTTGATAATGATTATTACATTCATGAATTGAAAACAAAAAATTATATCCATTTGCAATGTTTTAAATGTCATGTGACACCCCACTGACATATACACAGATACATTTCTATGTTATCAACCATTACAGCCATAAATTTATTTGTATACTTTCAAATCGTTAGCAATAGAGATTTGTGTAGAAAAGTGTATAATCAAATTAAAATGACATTTTTTTCGTTCGAAATTCATTCAGTGTATCTGATGTTGAAAAAATGTGACAAAATCAAGTGCTATATATTGTATGGCATAAACGACTGGCAATGTGTTCCTTGAATGAATGTAAACCACAAATCAAAAACAAGTCGAAGCCAACCTGTATGGATAGAAACCAGAACAAAATATCCATCGGCATATGTAAACATAAAAAAAAGAAAAAAATTGCACATTCATAACAATCGAATAAAAAAAAAACCAGAAAGAATGGCTGAAAGAAGTCAATAATATGTATATCAACGGAATTGATTATCATCGATGTCGTTCAACGAACTGGCTACAAAATGCTTTTCGATTCACATCATCAATATATGTGTTAAACAACAACGTCATTATCTCACTGTGACCATATGAAATCAATTTTTTTTGCTTTCAATATCTCTTGCCACAGTAGATTTTTACTTCTGTTTCAGAGTAAACACATCGGAAAAAAAAGAGTATGCGTAAGCACGCAAAGTGTGCATTCCATGTGATTACAACAAGAAGCATTTACACATTAATTACAACATGTAGTTGTTAACATTTTGGTGCTGAAAGAACGTATGTGTACTTGCGTGAATGAGATAATGAATGGAAACTATAAGAAGGGCTACTTTCACAATTAATCCAACAATAGATGTGCACTATGCATAATATGATTTGCACGTCAAGTGCAACGCGGAAATACGCACAATTCAACCGAATTCCCAAGACGCATGAAATCTAGTTTAGACGAATCATTCATCCATGACAATGTACTTTCATTACACATTCAAATAATGCAGACGCCAAATTGTTTGTTTTCATTTCGCATTGATTTCTATTTAGCACACAAATTCGAATTGCGACACCAATCAACAAGTCCAACAAATATATTTCATTCTCGTTACGAATTCTGATAACCACACAATCTCTTAACGAATGCAATAAGAGGTACTTATTGATTCGAATTATTATTCTTAAAATGCAATCGTTTTGTACACATTTGTTTTTCAAAAGAATTTCGCATCGTTTTGATTACGATTTTGCAAACTTTGACACAACAAACAATGCGTCAACGTTTTATTTTTCGGAAAAATTTTGAAAGAATGAGTGACCTAAATCGAAAGAAGATTTGTGAAATTGATTCATATCGTCGGAAATCCCTTGCGAAAAATATTTTGTTTGAACAGTGTGTCTATTTGAGCACAGCAGTGTGTCTATCAAATGGCAATAATTTGATTAAAATCCAGTCTTTTACCATTTATATTATATATAAATACCAAACTATCCGCGGATTTTGTCAATTTCAAATTGAATTGAAATGAACGTTATTTGAAGAATTGATGCTTCGTGGTTTTGTTCAAAAATAAAATTATAGCCTAACTATCGTTTTGGCTGTACAAAAACACAACGAATCGAAATCAATCAATACGTTTTCACAAGGGATTGTGTTGATTTAACAATCGAATTGTATTCGTTCTTGTGAATTGTGTGCTCTCGCGAGAAGGATGAAAAAAAGGTTTTCGCTTTTATTTACCTCGATGTTTCCCATTGTTTGAAAAGCCGTGAACAGGAACATAAAGCCGAACCCGAGCATTATCACGTTCAGAAATTTTTTATCCATTTTTGTTGCAAAATTTACTTAAAACGTCTATAGCTAAAAAAATTATTCTACTCTTAGAGTATACACGAGTCGGTTGTAAATAATTAGCTTGGCAACCGAAGCAAAAAAAAAAAAGATTCAAAAGAATAAAAAGCAAACGCACTGAATACGAACAATTTCAATTCAAAACGATGTGCACGTGTTTCACATACTTAACAGTTGATTATTTGAACACCTCGCGCCAACTAAGTCTGTTCAAGCATCGAACGCACAATACTGTTTTGTCGATGAGTTTAATTTGTTGTTGCTGGTTTATTATTTTGCCCCTTCTCTTTCGGTGGTATGATCGTAGCAGATTTTTGAATTGCACTGTTTGTCTCTTGCACACACCGATCAATGCATGAAATATTGATATCTGTTTCTCTTGTTATTTGGCGTTTATCACAAATAAAATCATGGATTTCATAATTGAACGAGAAAAAGGCAACAATGAGATATAAAGTACAATGAATGTTCAATATATTGACGACTAATAAAAAAAATGTGTTTTTTTTTTTAAATTCGAGCGAGAGTAAAAACAATTACTAAATATATGACCTAAAATGTAATCAACTGACACATCACTTTTAACTGATTATTTTTTTTTGTCTTTCCGTCATTGTTCACGCGACCGCTTCGCCTCTCAAAGTGATTTGGATCAATTTGAACGACAACAAAAAAGCACTTTAAACACTTTTTTCAGAGAAAAAAAAAATGTTTTTTAGTAGCTCTACAAAATTGTTGGAAGTGATAGAGAGACAGAATGATAATATATGTATATGCAAGCGTAAATGCATAGAAAGCAAGACCAGTTCCTCTCTCTCTCTCTCTTTTCTCTGTGTTCGCGTAGACTGATGGTTGAAGTATACGAAACACATACGGTGGGAGAGAGCAACATCATAATACACCCATGATACAAAACAGCTCTCGGCAGTAATCGGCAGCTTCTTTATCATTATTATTGATTAAAAACTTAACAAATTCATGCTATTTGCTCTCTCGCTCTCATTCTCGTCGGGCATGTTTTTATTTGTTTTGTTTTATTCATTTTGTATTATTTTACTATCGGTCAACCGCTGTAACGTTATAAAATACAAACATCGTCGTCGCTTTCGATCTCTGTTTAAGCTCTTTTGTAAATTATTTTCTATCAATTTTAATTGAATAAATAGCTGTTTAAACATTTCAAAAGATTTGCTTTGATAGAGTAGCATCGCAGAAATGCAATAATCAGTATGAATTGAACATTAATTTATGGCAAAACTCGTTAAAATCATGACCAAGGAAAAAACCAAGCTGTGTATACACATAGACTATCATTTGTGTCTATACATACACATGCAAGTTTTTTTTTTTTTCATACACAGTATACTGTAAGCTACAAACTGTCTGACGCATTACCAGTGCGTTGGTGCACATTTCATTACACATCAAAGAGGCGGCAAATCACCAACAAACAAATGTACACACAATGCAATTGACAATATGCGTTGTCTGAAGCCAATGAAGCATGATGTATGCACTGTGCACTCTCTCATTATGCCAAATTCAAAAATACGATATGATTGGCCGAGTGCGGTCATTTGAAATTGATATTTTGGAAAATGCTCAATTAGTGAAAACTTTTGATCGATTGCGTCGTTTGTTTTAGTTTCATTGAAAATGAACGGGCGAAAAAAAAACAAACAAACAAACAGAATAAAAACCGATAAACTTTAATGCGCATTTCAACTCTCACAGTTAATTACGATCAAAGTAATTGTTTACGAACCAAACTCAAATACACACGCACACCAAGCCATCCAAATGAAATGCAATAACTTTTGGCATGCCATGAAAACAATTTGAAAGACTATACCGTAAATCTTGTAAAAGCGTTTCGTTCATTTTCACCGAAAATGCCGTTTCGATTGTTAATTTATCGATACGAATAATGTCTGTCATTTGGCGATTTAGCATTCAATTCGCCGATTTCGGTGTGTGTGTGTGTGTGTGTGTGTGTGTGTGTGTGTGTGTGTGTGCATGTTTGCATGGGTTTGTGTCGTTTTGTAAATGTTTCGATCGGAACCGTTTGTTTCGCACCAAAAGCTAAGCTCAATAAACAACGATTGCGAAATATAAATATTAGAAAATCGATGTGCTACATCACTTTGGTAGCAACAGCGGCAATCGAACGGGCCAATGTTCGGAGTTTCGCATGGTTTAAATTGAAGCGAGAAAATACCCAGCATCAAAACATACATACAATGAAATGTACGGTTGTATTACAAATTACAATAAAGTACTATAGTTTCATCTTTCAATGTTTGTAAACACGCAAGCGATAGTGAATATTGCAAAACTGTGTACGCTATGGTTAACGATTATTTAGTTTGGCTTCATTCAACTGTTGAAGTGCATTTTGCTATTTTCTCCATTGAATCTTGTATTCATCTTCTATGTTGTTCGCTGTTTCTATCGTTTTTGAACGGAAAGTGTTCATTGATTTCAACTTGATTACATCCTTTCAACTTTCCACCCATTTCTCATCGGTCAGACATTCTATCCACAATTTCACGTTTTTTGCTTCATTTAGACTACATTTAGGCGTTTAATTCACAGCTGAAGATTTTTTTATTTCACTCTCATCTCATTCCGTAGTTTTTGATTTGTAGTCGAGGTTTTGCAATTGCAGTTTTCTTTTTTTTTTTGTTTTAAATCAAAATCAATATTCGTATTGAGCATCGAAATTTTCGTAATTAAACTCGATTTTTTTTCTCGTCCTTTTGTTATCACATTTCAAGTTCAATGGGCAAGCGGTGCCGAGTGGTTTTGAAGTTTCAAATATGAACTAATCTCAAAGTCGTTCAAATAATTTATGAACAAATGAATTCATGATATCTCACAATGGTGCACGAACTGAAATTGCTATTATAACGAAAAACAACTAAACACAAACTTAACACAATACAATATCGTATTACTCTCTCTCTTTCTTTCTCTCTGTGTATGACTTTTGATAGTAAAGTCAATAATATTTGTTTCTACTTCCATTTCGAGTCTAACGATTGCATTAATTGAGTTCGCACTCAACAGTTGGAATTGTTTTGTTCTATATATGCATGATGTTTTCAATGGTAATGATAGACCATTCGCTCCATTTCAGTTGCATCGCATAACATCATCGTTTTTCATTGCATCAGCAAACAAAACAGTACGGAACAATGCCAAACGAATAAATGTAACTACTGTATATATAAACAATTCGAATTGAAATATCCAGATTTGATTGGTTTTAAATATATTTATTAGAATTTGAAGATTAGCATTGATAGCATTTATCATTGGTTCATACACTTTAGATGAATTATTTGCCTGTTTATGTCATTGCTTCTAAAATTTCAATACAAAATACGCCCCTATATTTAATATATTTATGATTGTATAAATATGTATATATATAGTAATAGTAAGTGGTATCCTACGCCAGAGATACATTTTTAGCTCCGTTTTTCCAAATCTTTCTCTTTCTCTGGCCTTTGAATTGTGTAACGATCGATGAAACTGACTTTTTTTCCTTTTAAATTTCTATCCATTTTGCACTTTCCTCAATAATTATTGATATGTTTGCTCGTTATAAGTGCACAATAATATTTAATATTGGTTGCATCAGTTTCATCGAACTTTCAATTTTTATCAACAAAACACAAAAAAAAATAATCGCAAATCTTCAATGCGTTGGCCATTTAGAGCCAACCAGTTTTTGGTTGACGTCTTACCGTCGAAACATCGCTCACTCTTCGGCTGGGACTCAAAGCTGGTGATGATGGTCCACCGGATTTTACCAAACTTTCCGAGCTGCCTGTTACCGATTCCATTGATTGTGGTTTGAACGATGAATTGATGGAGTCCAGTGGCTTGGGTGGCGGTGGTGTTGGGGATTTTCGTGGTGATGGTGATACTGGACGTTGCACAGGCGATACTGGACGTGGTGATGCTGGTCTTTCAGCAACCTTCTTTGGTGATGGTGGAATACCAGATGTTGATGCCGTTTGAATCTTCAATGGCGTTTGAATCTTCAATGGTGGTGGTGGTATCATTCCTTTGCTTTGATCAACCTTATTGGCCACTGGTCGAGATATGGCCATATCTGAACCACCGTTTGCTGGTGCCGGTGCACGACGTTTTATCACCTTTGGTACACCTGATTGGGATATATCTGAATGTGTAAACACAAAAACAAAACGTACACACATTTAAAATGAAAAACAATAACGTTACGCATATCGCATACCTTTATCTCCTTCCAATTCTGGTGGTCGAACCCATTTTTCATTGGTAGTCGAACGATTTGATTCAGTGCGTGTGATCTGAATCTCTGGTAGTGGTGCCATTCCTTTGGTTGGTGATGAACCAATCGATGTGATCGATTTTCGACCTTTTGGCTCCGGAGATTTTGATGGTGACGGTGATTTTATACGAGGTGATATTGTTGGACTGGAAATCGGTGATGACTGAGGTAAGGTTGGTGGCGATAGTATCTGTCCATCTTGATTTCTATTTGGTTATATAAATCGAATTTTAAAAAAATTGCCTAAAAATTCAAAAATATTAAAACTTTGATTAATCCCATACCTTAAATCAAGAGATGATGAAATTGATTGACGATGTTTTTCATCTTCGATCTTTGACATACTTTCGGCCAATTGCATAATATGCACTGGCACTGGTGATGGTGACTTACTTCCAATCATTGCTTGCAACTGTATTATTGAATTTTCACGTTCTTGTTTACTCGATGGTGTTGATCCGCCAGGATATTCACCAACTTCTTCGCTAATATTTTTCAATAACTCGAGCAATGTATTTGTAGTTGGATCATTGTATGATATTGGAGTGCATGGTCGTGATTGAATTGGACTGTGTTGCACCAATTTTTTGGCTTCGGTCATGGCTTTGGCTAAATTCTGTTGATTTCGGAAGCTCTCTCTGTTCCGACATCGGCCGATTTGTGTATCGGCCACACTTTGAACAGCCTCTGTCCATTTATGGCTGGTCGTTTGATTTGCCACTACATTTGCAACACGACGGAAACGTGCCAAACCTCGGTCATTTTCTTTTTCCGGTTTCTCTTCGATGTCTTCAGCATTCGCTGCACCGACATGAAAATCTTTCATTAAACGTCGTTCCCAGACTTTCATACGTTTGGCTAAATGTGATTTCTCTTTTTTATCAGCCGTTGATGTATCCATGCCGGCTCTTTCGAATATTTCAAGAAATTCATATCGCATAGCTGAAATGTCACCTTTCACCTCATTGATGTCGTCTTCGGTCACAGCACTATCATCTTCACGACGTTGCATTGCCGATACGTAACGCCATACCAACGATTTAATCACATTTGTATATCGATTTTCACGGTCTTCACGGCGACGCTGCAAACAAAACGTGGAAAAGTGGCAAATACATTGAAAATGTTAGAAACGAAGACGGAAAATAAAATAAATAAATGAATTAAAAGTTCCAGACATACTATTGTTGAGCCTCGTTTCAGTTCTTTTGTTTTGTTGCCTTTAAATAATCGTGTAATCCATTTAACCGATGGCAAAATGTTGAATGGCGGAGGCAAAGTGCCACTTTCTTCAAAGTAGCTCATCCATAGTTTTGTTCGGGCAAATTTCCATTCAGTGTCGGAATGTTCCTAAACACAAAAGATCAAATAAATGACAAGAAAAGCGACACCGATAATGATTCGTTCAAACAATTGAATGGAATGAAAACAATTGAGGAAATGAAGCCAAACAAGTATTGGATGCGAAAATAAAATATGAAAGAAAGAACTAAAATGGAAAGAGAGAGAAAAAGTGCTCACATCAATCATTGCATATGAGTTGGACATCATGGCAATGAGCAGGTTCAATAAGACGATTACGTTGATTACACAATATGAACCAAACATGAGAAGACCCCAGAATCGTGTGTACGATTTAATGCCTTCCAATTCAAAGGTTTCCAAACCAACCATACCGAAACTGGCCCAAAACAGTGACTGTGACGATTCAAACAAACTGCGAACAAAAAGAAAAAGTCGAAAGAAGAATACATATTTTATGGATGCTAAACAAATTCATGCGAGAACTTACTTTCCAAAACGACGCCATTTCATGCAAGCATCACCTTGATTTTCCCAATCTGCCATGTCGTTTGGTCTGTGATAGCATTTTTGATGTTCCAAATCGGCAAAGTACCACAATAATTGATTCAAACCGCAAGCGAATGCAAACAGTACGAGCGAATAAATGAAGAAGAATTTGACGATATCGATAACCATTCGACCGAGAGAAATTTGCAACGGTCCCAAATGAGGATTGATCGAAAACAAATGAACCAATTTTATGGCGGAGAAGATATTGGCCGCGGCGAATAAGCCTTCGGCAATCAATTGCGGATCGAAATCGTCCCAATGCTCACGCGGAATGTAAGCAGTTGTTGGATCTCTAGAGATTTCGGATGTTTGTTGGATGTATGCAATCACTCTGTTGTAAGAACGATAGTTTTTTTTTGTTATGAATAATTTTTGAACCAGATGTTTGAATGTTATGATAAATACCTCAATAATGCAGTAAGACAATACAGGGAATTACGCGAAAAGTCAATAAAATTCCACATATTTCGTAAATAGCTGCGAATTCCTTCGTTTAGAATTTCCTGCGTTTCTTCCCATATGAAACCGACCACATAAAGCACAACAAGATATTCCAATGGCGACGGCCCGTTACCACGCTGTCGCCTCAACTGCTCTTCCATACTTTTCCGCATACTTTCCGTTCCAAACATCAGTATCACATGAACCTCCGCTCTTTGTGACACCAAAATTAGAATAACTGCCAACGACCATAACAACAACAATTATAATAAAGGTGATCATTGTGGACACAAAACAAATGGCAAAACATTCATTTTTCGAATACAGAGCATACTTACACAAGAAAAACAAGTAAGAAGAAGCGTGAATCAAGAATTTCATGAATGGTTTTCGCATAAGTTTCGCACTACCGCAGCCCGGAGCAAGCATATATAAGAAACAATATAACGGGAAGAAAACGACAACACGAATAATGATTAACATCTTTTCGGCCGCCGATTTTCGTCGAAAACCAGGTACACCTTCATACCATAGAGCCGCTAACAATTGTTGAATATTTGGATGAGCCACAAACTGAAAAGGGAATATGATTTTTTTTTCAGAGCTTTTAACATTTTCACATTTTCATGGAACATTTTTTTTCCCGACAAATCATTGAGAATCCAACCAAAACGATCAACATTTAAGAATCGACTGTTAGCCTTAAGTGATGAAAACTTTTCTAGCTTTTCATTGGTATCAAATCATAATACTGTTTTTTTAAATGATCAAATTTGATATTTTTTAGTATATTTTGACTCATTGTATTAGATTTGCATTGATTCATACCCTTTTTACCACCACACAGAAACAAGTATTCGAGTAAGCTTACTCGCACTTGCGGTGTTAGTAGAGGCTTTACCCCTCAAAATGAGTTACGCACTCTATTTAACTCTATTT